TTACTGAAAGACTTGACTGACTTACTACATGACTTGACTGACTTACTGAATGAGTTGACTGAGTCACTGAATGACTTGACTGACTTACTGAATGGCTTGACTGACCTACTGAATGGCTTGACTGACTTTCTGAATGACTTGACTTACTGAACGACTTGACCGACTTACTGAATGACTTGACTGACTTATTGATTACTAAATGACTTGAGACTTACTGAATGACTTGACTGACTTACTGAATGGCTTGACTGACTTTCTGAATGACTTGACGTTTACTGAACGACTTGACCGACTTACTGAATGACTTGACTGACTTACTGAATGACTTGACTGACTTATTGAACGACTTGTCTGACTTACTGAATGACTTGACTGACTTACTGAACGACTTGACTGACTTACTGAATGACTTGACTGACTTACTGAATGACTTGAGACTTACTGAATGACTTGACTGACTTACTGAATGACTTGACTGACTTAATGACATACTGAATGACTTGACTGACTGAACGACTTGTCTGACTTACTGAATGACCTGACTTACTGAATGACTTGATTGACTTACTGAATGACTTGACTGACTTACTGAATGACTTGATTGACTTACTGAATGACTTGACTGACTTACTGAATGACTTGAGACTTACTGAATGACCTGACTGACTTACTGAATGACTTGACTGATATACTGAATGATTTGACTGACTTACTGAATGACTTGACTGACTTACTGAATGACTTGACTTACTGAACAACTTGACTGACTTACCGAATGACTTGAGACTTACTGAATGACCTGACTGACTTACTGAATGACTTGACTGATATACTGAATGATTTGACTGACTTACTGAATGACTTGACTGACTTTCTGAATGACTTGACTGACTTACTGAATGACTTTACTGAGTACTGAATGACTTGATGACTTACTGAATGACCTGACTGACTTTTGAATGACTTGACTGATATACTGAATGATTGACTGACTTACTGAATGACTTGACGACTTACTGAATGACCTTGACTTACTGAAACTTGACTGATATACGAATGATTTGAGACTTACTGAATGACTTGACTGAGTCACTGAATGACTTGACTGACTTACTGAATGAATTGACTGACTTTCTGAATGACTTGACTTACTGAACGACTTGACTGACTTACTGAATGACGTGACTGACTTATTGATTACTAAATGACTTGAGACTTACTGAATGACTTGACTGAGTCACTGAATGACTTGACTGACTTACTGAATGGCTTGACTGACTTTCTGAATGACTTGAATTACTGAACGACTTGACGATACTGAATGACTTGATTGACTTATTGAACGACTTGACTGACTTACTGAATGACTTGACTGACTTACTGACGACTTGACTTGACTTACTAATGACTTGAGACTTACTGAATGACTTGACTGACTACTGAATGACTTGACTGACTTACATGACATGACTATGACTTGACTGACTGAATGACTTGATTGACTTACTGAAGACTTGAGACTTACTGAATGACTTGACTGACTTACTGAATGACTTGACTGACTTATGACATCTGAATGACTTGACTGACTGAACGACTTGTCTGACTTACTGAATGACCTGACTTACTGAATGACTTGATGACTTACTGAATGACTTGACTGACTTACGAATGACTTGATTGACCTACTGAATGACTTGACTGACTTATGAATACTTTGAGACTTACTGAATGACCTGATCTTACTGAATGACTTGACTGATTACTGAATGATTTGACTGACTTACTGAATGACTTGACTGACTTACTGAATGACTTGACCTTACTGAACAACTGACTGACTTACTGAATGACTTGAGACTTATGAATGACCTGACTGACTTACTGAATGACTGACTGATATACTGAATGATTTGACTGACTACTGAAGACTTGACTGACTTACTGAATGACTTCAGACTTACTGATGCTTGACTGAGTCACTGAATGACTTGACTGACTTCACTGAATGAATTGAACTGACTTCTAATGACTTGACGACTTACTGAATGACTTACTGACTTACTGTAATGACTTTGAGACGTACTGAATGACCTGACTGACTTATGAATGACTTGACTGATATACTGAATGATTTGACTGACTTACTGAATGACTTGACTGACTTACTGAATGACTTGACTTACTGAACAACTTGACTGACTTACCGAATGACTTGAGACTTACTGAATGACCTGACTGACTTACTGAATGACTTGACTGATATACTGAATGATTTGACTGACTTACTGAATGACTTGACTGACTTACTGAATGACTTGAGACTTACTGAATGACTTGACTGAGTCACTGAATGACTTGACTGACTTACTGAATGACCTGACTTACTGAATGACTTGATTGACTTACTGAATGACTTGACTGACTTACTGAATGACTTGACTGACTTACTGAATGGCTTGACTGACTGAATGACTTAAAGTTAGACACCCCAGTACAACCATCAACTTCAGTACCAGAACCTCTACCATCCACCTCAGCCCAGTAGGGCTACAGCATAACTCTCCACTCTCCTCACAATCATCCACAAACACCAGCACCCACAATTTAAGGTAAGAAATACTGTTATTTCTGTTACATTTGTAGTCTTAAGCAGTAAAAAAACATAATACATCACAACAATGAACTACAGTTACATATTCACTTTTATTTTTATAAAATGTGGAGGCCTAAAAAAAGTTGTTTGGCTTTTTTGGGGGCTCTCAGGAACGTAACCCTATTTTTCCCGTAAGTTCTTCAGTTCATCTAACATGGTTTTATCTAACACGGAGTTTTCAGGAACGTAACTACCGTGTTAAATAACGGTCTACTGTACATCATTATATATTTACATGAATTAATGTGATGGGGAAAGTTTTTAATTTTGCACCAAAATAAACATGACCTACATTAACTAAATGTAATATAGATTAATCCTATTCACTCTGTCAAAGGTAAGACTAAATTTAGTGAGTTAGTGATAATCGACATAATGAAATAAGTTAACTTGGAGCTGTTAAGGCTAATTTATTTCTGAATCATTGCAGAAATAAATTTTTGCTAGGCTTGTTTGGCAAAATGGTGCATGCTGTATAAGCTGAGTTGAGAAGAATGACTTAAAAAGTACAGCACATACAGTATGGTACATACTAGCTTGTGGAGCTTCTAATTTTTGGTTTAGCCTCATCAGCTGTCTCCCACTAATTTAAGATGGCCATCCCCCCCAGAAAAAAAAGCATTTAACCTTATTCATTCAAGCATTGTCTTACCAGAAGTGTACCAGCATCACAGTTCAGATAGCTCTCCAACTGAAACATCTCCACCCCTCCCTCAGAAGTCAGGCACTGCCCTTCCCACCTGCTGGACTCAAGTCCACTTAACTTATTTCGCTGAACTTTTTCGTAAATGTTGCCTTGCTCACACTCTGAATTAACATGCTCACGCAAGGCTGCTGGATGCTCAAGCCCCTAGCACTCAAAACCTTCTGTATCATTCCTTCCAAATGTTCCTGGGACAACCCTACCTCTCCTTTGCACCACCTTAGATTTATACACCCTCTTTGTCATCTTATTCCTGTTCATCCTCTCTTAATACCCAGACCACCTCAACCCCACCTCAGCCCTCTGAATTATACCCTTGGTGACCCCACACCATCTGTGCTCAGAATTCTCTGCATAAAATTCACACCACATGTTGCTCTGGTACATTCCATCTCGACTCCCTCCAGCCTCACTACAACATTCAAAGTCCATGTTTCACACCTGTATAAGACTGTTGGTATCACTAAACTCTGGTACATTCTTCTTTTTGCTTCTATAGGTAAAACTTTCTTTCTTTCCATGTATGCCTCATCACACTACCAACTGTTTTCCCCTCATCTATTCCATGGTTCATCTCATTTTTCATAAACCCATCTGCCATGTCTACATCCAAATATCTAAATACATCTACTTCCTCCATACTCCCTCCAATCTAATATCCAGTCTTTCATTGGCTATCCTTTTTACTCTCATCACTTTGCTATTTTCTATATTTACTTATAATTTCCTTCATTTTACCTTTTTTTTTTTCAACAAGTCGGTCGTCTCCCACCGAGGCAGGGTGACCCAAAAAAGAAAGAAAATCCCCAAAAAGAAAATACTTTCATCATCATTCAACACTTTCACCACACGCACACATTATCACTGCTTTTGCAGAGGTGCTCAGAATACAACAGTTTAGAAGCATATACATATAAAGATACACAACATATCCCTCCAAACTGCCAATATCCCAAACCCCTCCTTTAAAGTGCAGGCATTGTACTTCCCATTTCCAGGACTCAAGTCCGACTATATGAAAATAACCGTTTTCCCTGAATCCCTTCACTAAATATTACCCTGCTCACACTCCAACAGATCGTCAGGTCCCAAGTATCATTCGTCTCCATTCACTCCTATCTAACACGCTCATGCACGCTTGCTGGAAGTCCAAGCCCCTCGCCCACAAAACCTCCTTTACCCCCTCTTTCCAACCCTTTCGAGGACGACCCCTACCCCTCTTTCCTTCCCCTATAGATTTATATGCTTTCCATGTCATTCTACTTTGATCCATTCTCTCTAAATGACCAAACCACCTCAACAACCCCTCTTCTGCCCTCTGACTAATGCTTTTATTAACTCCACACCTTCTCCTAATTTCCACACTTCGAATTTTCTGCATAATATTTACACCACACATTGCCCTTAGACAGGACATCTCCACTGCCTCCAACATATCCTCCCAAATTTGTCTACCAACCTTTACAAATCTTTACAGAATCTTACAAAAGAACTATGTCATTGTCAAAAAGCAATTGTGACAATTCCCATTTTTGTATCAGATCATTATATTTTAATCCCACATCTCTCATCACCCTAACATTCATTTCTTTTACTTATGGAAGCTCGTATGTTCAGCTGTTTTTCTTTATGATTATACAGGGTCACTATGATAATGGTTGTGTGTATCCTGGGGTAGTGCCTCTGCTTCAACGACTCCACCTTGATGTGGAAAGTCTTCAGGAACAATTTCGAGAAGTTGCTCTGGCGGAGAACCAGGAGACATCCCTAATTAATACCCAACTCGGGTGAGATAATAACAATAATTTTTTCAAGCATTTCTCTTCATTATTTATTAATATACAGTAGGCTTAATGTAATCATTTAAACATATTATTGTGTAACTTTTGGGGATCAATAAACCTTTGAGTTAACGGACTAATAAGGAAAAGCAGGTGGTTGTTAATGTTGATTTTGAGGGATAGAGATGAGATTGTATTCCCATGATCATAACAATAACTGATACTGGACTTTGTTGATTGTTGTTGAATCAGTTGACATAGTGAATTTTGTCCTGTATTTGCAGTGTCTTGTAAATTGAGGGTTTACTGTGGTTTTCTTATTCTTATTTTCATTGAAATTTTCCTCTATGAAGTCAGGTCTGTCATGACATAAATTAGGAATTTATTTTATATTGCAGTAAATACACTTAATTTTTAATATAATCATTGGAACTGTGATGTCAGCACAGTTCTTGCAAGATAGCAATTGAGTGAATGACAGTGAATGCGTTTCCTCTATTTTGGGTTAATTTACCTCGGTGGGAGACAGCCAATTACGTTAAAAAATATCGTTATTGCTTTTTTTTTTATGTTATTAACACTTTGACTGTCGCGGTCGTATATATACGTCTTACGAGGTACCATGTTTGACGTATATATACTCATAAATTCTAGCGGCTTCAAATCAAGCAGGAGAAAGCTGGTAGGCCCACATGTGAGAGAATGGGTCTGTGTGGTCAGTGTGCACCATATAAAAAAAAATCCTGGAGCACGCAGTGCATAATGAGGAAAAAAAAACTCCGACCGTTTTTTTAATTAAAATGCCGAATTTGTGGTCTATTTTCGTATAGTATTTATGGTTGTATTCTCGTTTTGTTGGTCTCATTTGATAGAATGGAAAACATATTATAGAAATAGAGGTGACTTTGATTGATTTTACTATAAAAAGAACCTGGAAATGGAGCTCAAAGTAGGGGAAATGTTTGATTTTTACCGATGTTCAAAAGTACACAAATGATGTCATTGTCCAATAAATGTCCAACTAGCCATTCTAATATGTCATGAATGGGTTGATGTTATTTATACAATTATTACAGTATTGCAGTAGTCTGCATAATAGTAAGTCTTCTATTTTTTGTTTGAATAAAAATTAAAAATAGAAAGGAAGAGTAATGTCAGAGGGGCCTGGAGACATGACTGATGAACAAAGAAAATGTTATTTTACAGCCAGGAATGCCTGCATTGTTCATTCTGGACCTTATTTTGACATTGTTATATTTTTTAATTTTCGTGAAATTGGCCAAGTTGCAAATTTCTGACCACATTATTGGGTAGTTGAAATCGGTAAATGGGCAGTTTCTTGTACTCAATCGATAGAAAAAATTAAGTTCTAAAGAAATAGCTATGACTTTGGTCGACTGGCACAAAGGAATTAGCCGAAAATAGGGCTCAAAGTGGGCGAAATCGCCGATTTGTCAATATCGCCGGGGTCGCTAACTTCGCGAGAGCATAATTCCGTCAGTTTTCCATCAAATTTCGTTTTTTTAGTGTCATTACAATCGGGAAAAGATTCTCTATAATTTCATAAGAAAAATAATTTTTTTTTTTTTTTGATGTTTTGCGACACCAGGAGACACCTCAGGATTGGGGGTTGCGACAGTCAAGGGGTTAATACACCAAAGGAGGGGTGTTAATGTTGCAGTTTAAAAACTGTAGTGTAAAGCACCCTTCTGGCAAGACAGTGATGGAGTGAATGATGGTGAAAGTTTTTCTTTTTCGGGCCACCCTGCCTTGGTGGGAATCGGCCAGTGTGTTAATAAATAAATTAATAATAATACACCGGCCGTCTCCCACCTAGGCAGGGTGGCCCAAAAAAGAAAAACTTTCATAATCACTTACTCCATCACTGTCTTGCCAGAGGCATGCTTATACTACAGTTATAAAACTGTAACATTAACAATTCCTTCATAAATGTTACCTTGCTTACACTCCAACAGCACATCAAGTCCTATAAACCATTTGTTTCCATTCGCTCCTATCTAACACGCTCATGCATGCTTGCTGGAACTCCAAGCCCCTCGCACACAAAACCACCTTTACCCTTCTCCCTCCAGACTTTCCTAGACTGACCCTTACCCCGCCTTCCCTCCACTACAGATTTATACATTCTCGAAGTCATTCTGTTTCATTCCACCCTCTCTACATGTCCAAACCATCTCAACCCCCTCCTCAGCCCTCTGGATAAAAGTTTTGGTAATTCCACACCTCCTAAACTCCAAACTACAGATTCTCTGCATTATATTCACACCACACATTGCTCTCAAACATGACATCTCCACTACCTCCAGCCTTCTCCTTGTTGCAACATTCATAACCCATGCCTCACACCCATACAAGAGTGTTAGTATAACAGTACTCTCATACATTCCCTTCTTTGCTTTCATGGATAAAGTTCTTTGTCTCCACACACTCTTCAGTGTACCACTCACCTTTTTCCCCTTGTTAATTCTATGATTTACCTCATCCTTCATAGACTCATCTGCTGACACATCTACTCCCAGATATCTGAACACATTCACCTCCATACTTTCTCCCTCTAATCTGATATCCAGTCTTCTGTTACCTCATTTTTTTGTTATCCTCATCACCGTACTCTTTCCTATATTCACTTTTAATTTCCTTTGTTTACATGCCCTACCAAACTCATCAACCACCCTCTGCAACTTCTCTTCAGAATTGCAAAGAGCAATTGTGACAACTCCCACTTTGTGTTAGATTCTTTAACTTTTAACCCCACACCTCTTACCACCACCCGAGCATTCACTTCTCTTACAAGTCCATCTATAAATGTATTGAACAACCATGGTGACATCACACATCCCTGTCTAAGGCCTACTTCTACTGAGAAATAATCTCCCTCTTGTCTACATACTCTAACCTGAGCCTCGCTAACCTCGTAAAAACTTTTCATTGCTTTCAATAACCTACCTCCTGTTCCATACATTTGCATCATCTGCCACATTGCCCCCCTATCCAACCTATCATATGCCTTTTCCAAACCCATAAATGCCACAAATACCTCTTTACCCTTATGTAAATACTGTTCACCTATTTGTTTCACTGCAAATACTTGGTCTACACACTGTCTACCCTTCCTAAAGCCTCCTTGTTCATCTGCTATCCTGCTCTCCATCTTACTCTGAATTCTTTTGATAATAACTCTACCATTCACTTTACCAGGTATGCTCAACAGACTTATTCCTCTATAATTTTTACACTCTCCTTTGTCCCCTTTGCCTTTATACAAGGGAACTGTGCATGTTCTCTGCCAATCCCTAGGTATCTTACCCTCTTCCATACATTTATTAAATAAAAGCAGTAACCATTCCAAAACTATATCCCCACCATCAATCTAAGCTGCTTTACCCCCTTTCATTGTACCCACTATCCCATGCATTTCCCCCACAATTACAACTGGTTCTTCCTCACTCCTATAAGATGTTATTCCTCCTTGCCCTATACACAAAATCACAGCTTCCCTGTCTTCATCAACAATTAACAGTTCCTCAAATATTCCCTCCATCTTCCCGATACCTCTAACTCTTCATTTAATAACTCCCTCTCCAATTTTTAACTAACAAATCCATTCTTTCCCTAGACTTTCTCAACTTATTAATCTCACTCCAAAACTTTTTCTTATTTTCAACAAAATTTGTTGATAACATCTCACCCACCCTCTCATTTGCTCTCTTTTTACATTGTTTCACCATCTCTTAACCTCTCTCTTTATTTTCATATACTCCTCCCTCCTTACATCACTTCTACTTTGTAAAAACCTCTCATATGCTAACTTTTTCTCACTTACTACTCTCTTTACATCATCATTCCACCAATCGCTCTTCTTCCTTCCCACACCCACTTTCCTATAACCACAAACTTCTGATGAACACTAACACTATATTCTTAAACTTACCCCTTATACCTTCTACTCCATTACCTCTACTCTCATTAGCCCATCTATTCTCCAACAGTTGTTTATATCTTACCCTAACTGCCTCCTCCTTTAGTTTATGAATCTTCACTTATCATCTTACTTCCCGTTTCCATTCTCCTTGTATCCCAACTACCTTTTACTCTCACTGTAGCTACAACTAAAAAGTGATCTGATATATCTGTGGCCCCTCTATAAACATGTACATCTTGAAGTCTACCCAACAGTCTTATCTACCAATACATAGTCCAGCAAACTAAGTACTGTCATTTTGCCCTACATCATATCTTGTATACTTATTTATCCTCTTTTCATAAAATATGTGTTACTTATAACCAAACTCCTTTCTGTACAAAGTTCAATCAAATGTTCCCTATTATCATTTACACCTGGCACCCCAAACTTACCTACCACACCCTCTCTAAACACTTCTCCTACTTTAGCATTTAGGTCCCCTACCACAATTCCTCTCTCACTTGGCTCAAAAGTTCCTGCACACTTGTTTAACATCTCCTAAAATCTCTCTCTCTCTCCTCTACACTCCTCTCTTCTCCAGGTGCATACACTTATTATGAAATGCTTTTCACATCCAACCCTTATTTTAATCCACATAATCCTTGAATTTATACATTTATATTCCCTCTTCTCTCTCCATAACTGATCTTTCAACATTATTGCTTCCCCTTCCTTAGCTCTAACTCTTTCAGATACTCCTGATTTAATCTGATTTATTTCTCCCTACTGAAACTCGCCTATCCCCTTCAGCTTTGTTTTGTTTAGGGCTAGGACGTCCATCATTCTTTTCATTCATAACATTAGCAATCATCTCTTTCTTATCATCTGCACTACATCCACGCACATTCGAACATCCCAATTTTATAAAGTTTTTCTTTTCCTTATTTTTAGTAATTTATACAGGAGAAAGGGTTACTAGCCCATTGTTCCCAGCATTTAGCCGGGAGCAATTCTGTTCCACTTCCCCATGGAGATAAGCAGAAATAAACAAGAACAAGAACTAGGAAGAAAATATAAGAAAACCCAGAGGGGTTAGTATATACAGTGGACCCTCGACTAACGCTATTAATCCGTTCCTGAGAGCTCATCGTTAGTCAAAATAATTGTTAGTCAAGTTAATTTTCCCCATAAGAAATAATGGAAATCAAATTAATCCGTGCAAGACACCCAAAAGTACATGTATTGAAAAAAAAAATTTTAACTCATGAAATATTAATTTTAATACACACAAACTGAAGAAGACATGCACAGTTATATGACACTTACCTTTATTGAAGATCTGGTGATGATTGATGGGATGGGAAGAGGGGAGTGTGTTGATGGTCTTAGTGTTTAGAAGGGGAATCCCCTTCCATTAGGACTTGAGGTGGCAAGTCCTTTTTCGGGGTTACTTCCCTTCTTCTTTTAATGCCACTAGGACCAGCTTGAGAGTCACTGGACCTCTGTCACACAACATATCTGCCCATAGAGGCCTGTACCTCCCATTCCTTTATGACATATCTAAAGCGTTTCACAACATTGTCAGTGTCACCATTAAACACTTGTTCAGGTTTCAGTCCTTCACTGTCTATGTACTCCTTGAATTCCTGCACATATTTTTCAGCTGCTTTTTGGTCCAAACTGGCAGCCTCACCATGCCTTATCACACTATGTATGCCACTACGATTCTTAAATCTCTCAAACCAACCATTGCTGGCCTTAAATTCGCTCACATCACCACTAGTTGCTGGCATTTTTCTAATTAAATCGTCATGCAACTTCCTAGCCTTTTCACATATGATCGCTTGAGAGATGCTATCTCCTGCTATCTGTTTTTCGTGTATCCATACCAATAACAGTCTCTCAACATCTTCTATCACTTGCGATCTCAGTTTCAAAAACATAGTTCCACCTTTGGCAAGAACAGCTTCCTTGATTGCCATTTTCTTGGCCACAATAGTAGCGATGGTTGATTGGGGTTTTGTGTACAGCCTGGCCAGCTCGGAGACACGCACTCCACTTTCATACTTAGCAATGATCTCTTTCTTCATATCCATAGTAATTCTCACCCTTATTGCTGTAGGGTTGGCACTAGAAGCTTTCTTGGGGCCCATGGTGACTTATTTTGCAGGTGCAATCACTAAAAAGGCTGTGATAATATGAAATGTTCCGATTGTATATTTGGAAGCGACCGCGGTGGCTGGCTGGCTTGTAAACACTGGCCAGAAGTGGACGCGTCTCAGACGGAACGAATAGTGTTGGTCGAGTTTTTTAGCGCTAATCGAGGGAAAATTTTTGCGATAAAATGTATCGCTAGTCAAGATTTATCGTTAATCGATGCCATCACTGGTCGAGGGTCCACTGTATATGCTTGTACATGCATGTGTAGTGTGACCTAAGTGTAAGTAGAAGTAACAAGACATACCTGCAACCTTGCATGTTTATGAGACAGAAAAAGAGACCAGCAATCCTACCATCATGCAAAACAATTACAGGTTTATGTTTCACACTCATTTGGTAGGACGTTAGTACGTACCTTCCTTGGTGGTTCCTGTGTACCAGCCTACTACCTTATTGCTTTGTTTCCAATATTTGTGAAGTGCAAGGTATTTACAAGGAAATTAAAAAAATATTAGAAAAAAGGTTTAAGAATACGAAGGAATGCAATAAATAACTATCCTGTGGAAGTGTAACATTACTGTCAGTGAGATATAAAGAAACTTAAGAAAACAAATTCTTTTTAAACAGGATGTCATTTGTTAATACTGTTATCAGTTATTATGGCTGTACTACACTAGGAAAATATTAACAACATCAACTTTGTTATATGCAATGATGAGGTAAAAATGCTATTTCTGTGGTGTTGGAAAGTGTATTTATTGAATGGTAGTACATCGCCCATCACACCAAGTAATGCACTGCTGACTCTCTCTTGTGATTGTGCAGATGCCAGCAAACACCAGTGAAGATTTCTTCCTCTCCGTCATCAAAGATAGCTATAGAGAGAACTGAGAATGTGGCAATAATAACTGCTAAGGGCACCAAATAAGAGAAATTGCGAGGTGCAGTGAGGAAGTTAAGGGCATATGTAAAGTGTGTGTCAGACACCAATTCTATTGTTGCCAAAATCTGTAATTTTTTACCCATGTACTAAATCTATTTGTAATAAATACACTGGAAAAAACAAATCAAATATGGAAAAGAAAATCCCGATTAACCCCTAAACGGTCCAAACATATATATACATTCTTACCGCTAGCGCCCCAAACATATCTATACGTTTTATTTTTCCTGCCTCCAAATTTGGCATGATTGGCCTGAGATGCCTGGTCACCATAGAATGGGTCTTAACACTCGGTGTGCATCACATTAAAAAAATCTGGGACCACTTAGTACCTTGTGGGAGCGCCAATTAAATTGAGCGCCAGCTAGAGCAAACAGTGCGGCAAACACCAAGGATTCACTGATGTAACGTCATATTAATACTCCCTTTTAAGAAGAAAGTGATTTTAACCCCAAGTTTAGGGTATGTCTATCTGTCTCTCTCTATCTCTGTCTGTATCTCTTTCTGTCTCTGTCTATCTGTCTCTCTCTTTTTATCTGTCTCACAGGTACACACAAACACAATTATACATAGTGTAAATTACCTAGGATAACCTAAAAAATCCGAAGTGCTATACTGTGCTTGTAGATATAATGCATAAGAATACTTGTTGGTTCACAGTGGCTCTCTCTGAGACAGAGAGAGAGGCAAGCAGAGAGATGGAAAGAGACAAGCAGACAGAGAGACAAGACAGAGAGACAGATAATCGGATATAGAGATACGTGCTCATCAAATGTCACCCTTTATCTCTGCACCCTGCTGGCACCCATCAAATGTCATCCCTTATCTCATCTTATCTCTGCACTATCTCATCTCTGCACCCTCGCTGGTGCCTATCAAATGTCATCCCTTATCTCATCTTATCACTGCCCTCCCGGATGCTTGTCACTGACACTTGTCTTACACATTGCTTCAAGGGAACTTCTTCCTTCTTCTTCTTTCTTCCTCCTCCTTCCTCCTCCTTCCTTCTTCCTTCCTTCTTCTTCTTCTGTACTCCCGTGTATCCAAAACATTGTTGAGACCTATAAATACTTTGTATATATTCCTAGACAATAGTAAATGACCAAGGCAGGTGTAAATGTCCACCTTTCAATGTGTTTGTGACAGTTTGAGTACAATTTCAGTACCTAATACATGTATTAGTGTCAGAACAAAGATTGGTTATGAAATGACAAGAACTACAAAATTGTAATTATCAGAACGTAAAAATTATATAAATATGTATAAAAATGAGAAAAAATGGTATATCGGCAACACTTCTGCAAGCGGCAGGACTCGATGTTACCGTCAGGTGAGCATTAAGTGCCAACTTTGCAGCCTTATATCTCACTAAGTGCTGACCCTTATTTTTTTTTTATTTTAATTCTATAACACTTAGAAAAATTTTCTCTTTATTTCAATGAAAAAAAAACCTATTTTTTTTATTTTTCAAAATATTCAGGGCACTGAGTGAGAGAACGTACATATACATTTGGACCGTTTAGGGGTTAAATGTCACATTTACAGTTAGAATTGTTTGAAGAAGAAAATTCTGATTAAATATCATATTTGTAATTAGCATTTGTTTGTTAAATATCATTGGAAAATTACGTCAAACCTTCATTGTGCAAGTGTGTTCAATCAGTGCAACATATTTCCCCACAAATGACTGGCTGATACCAGCCTGTTTGACTCTGGGTGGCTTGTATGCAAATAATATTCAGTATGTACAAAGTATATCCTTGATTTAATGGACTAATGTGGAAACAGATAGTCAGTAATGGCGATTGTGGTAGATAGATTAGATTGTTTTGCCATGATTGTAACAATAATGGACAATTCTGTAACCACTGGACTTTGTCTGTTGTTTCCAAATCAGTTAACCAGATGGATTTTGGATTAATATTGGTAGAATTACCGACAGTATCTTAAGTAAAAGGACACAAATACAACTAATGTGACATTTTATTGTGGAAACATTTCGCTCTTCAGGAGCTTTATCAAGCTGGCTTGATAAAGCTCCTGGAGAGCGAAACGTTGAAACAATAAAATGTCACATTAGTTGTATTTGTGTCCTTTTACTGGTGGATTTTGTTCCATATTTCTGCAGTCCAGTAAATCGAGGTTCATTATATTGAGGGTTTATTATGTATATTGTGTATGAAATAAATTAAATAAACCTGTGTAACCATAACATTTGTGCATTACTGTGCAGTCTGAAAGTATTCTTACCTATGTTTTGATGTTTAAATCAGGGCTTAGCCCTAGTCTTGTTTTCTGTGGGATCATAGTGGATTGCCTTATCAGGAAAACATGGGTTCTGTGATTTATCTTGCAGCAATGGTAGGGCTTCACTGTTCTGTGATCTACCTATATATCTACAGAGCTTTTGAATTTATACTCTGTAAATTAAGTAAAACTGCATAAATACCCTTATTTTCCTATTCTTAATAACTGATAGTGTTTAATTTTATATTTTATCACTTTAGGGGCCAAACAGTGCAATACTTGGGTAGTGTGTCTGTGGGTGGCTCTGGTGATGTGTCACAGATTGAACATGCTGTTACTGCAGTCTCCAATCAAAACAGACAACCTGTAGGCGTCTTATTAATAACAGGGGAAATTGGTGTTCAGACCCTGCTAAGAACCAACAAAAAGGTATTAGTTTCATTATTTTTCTAAAATGCAGTAAAAATTAACATTATGCTCACCGTGTCTCCATTCATTTAATCACTATTTCAGTTAGTTATGCATGCAATAATATGGTCTTTTTCTAAGAAAGCTCTTGCAGTGTCAAGGAATTAAAAATTACTGTTTGGGATAAGGAATGAACTGAGGGTCAGTTTGTATGCACTATATTTTCTTGACATTGTACACTTAGAAACGCCTTTATTATATTCTTGTGGATGATGATGCATAAGTGTCACATAAATGCTTATAGTTTCTTGACTGAATTTCTCCTGTTATCACTGTTCACATCATGCAGTAATTAACTTCATTTCATACTCTTTCTTTTCTGTTAGTATTATTCTGGCCTATCTTCTCACATATGCATCCCAAAAAATAATGTTGTCTGCATGTTACATATGTATTATTTATTCTCTACCAGAATTTTAAATAAGATGAAATAATAAATATATAAACTTGCATTTATTTAAATTTTCAGAAAATTTTTACGATATTTTTTAAATAAATACATGTATATGTATTCATTAAATTAACTGAGCAAAAGAATGACTATGTTCTCCGTCTTCAGATGATCCTCAATCACAGCTACACCGAAATATCATCTTGTGGCAGGAGGAATGATATGCAAGATTATTTTGCTTATATTGCTGGGTGAGTTTGTTTTACATTGCATTTCCTTAATTTTTTAAGTCATATGTTTTTAATTGTAAGTGTCTCTTGTAATTATTGTTTAAATATTAAAGTACATAAAGTTATTACAATAGGGCCCCACTTATACAGCAGGTTAGGTTCCAGGCTACTGCCGGAAAGCAGACATCACTGGTAGATTGGTAGACAGCAACCACCCAGGGAGGTACTACCGTCCTGCCAAGTGAGTGTAAAACGAGAGCCTGTAATTGTTTTACATGATGGAAGGTTTGCTGGTGTCTTTTGTCTGTCTCATAAATATGCAAGATTACAGGTATGTCTTGCTGCTTCTACTTACACTTAGGTCATACTACACATACATGTACATGTTGATTTATACACACTTATCTGAGTTTTCTTTGATTTTATCTTAATAGTTCTTGTTCTTATTACTTTTCCCTTTTTTATCCATGGGGAAGTGGAACAGAATTCTTCCTCCATAAGCCATGCATGTCGTAAGAGGTGACTAAAATGCTGGGAGCAAGGGGCTAGTAACCTCTTCTCCTGTATATATTACTAAATGTAAAAGGAGAAACTTTTGTTTTTCCTCTTGGGCCACCCTGCCTCGGTGGGATACGGCCGGTGCGTTGAAAGAAAGAAGAAAGATCTGAGTTTTCTTTGATTTTATCTTAATAGTTCTTGTTCTTATTAGTTTTCCCTTTTTTATCCATGGGGAAGTGGAATAAGAATCTTTCCTCCATAAGCCATTCATGTTGTAAAAGTCAACTAAAATGCCGGGAACAATGGGCTAGTAACCCCTTTTCCTGTACAGATTACTAAAAATAAGAAGAAAATTGTCAAAGCGGTATGTCTGAATGTGTGTGGATGTTGTGCGAATGATAAGAAAGAGATGATTATGGATGTTATGAATGAGAAAAGGCTGGATGTCCTGGCTTTAAGTGAAACAAAACTGAAGGGTGTGGGAGAGTTTCAGTGGAGAGAAGTAAATGGGATTAGGTCAGGGGTTTCAAATAGAGTTAGAGCTAAAGAAGGAGCAGCAATAATGTTGAAGGATAAGCTATGGCAGGAAAAGAGGGAGGATAAATGTATTAATTCAAGGATTATGTGGAGTAAAATAAAGGTTGGACGTAAAAAGTGGGTTATAGTAAGCATATATGCACCTGGAGAAGAGAGAGGTGTAGAGGAGAGAGAGAGGTTTTTGGAAATGTTGAGTGAGTGTGTGGGGAGTTTTGAACCAAGTGTGAGAGTACATGTGGCTGGGGATTTCAATGCTAAAGTGGGTAAAAATGTTGTGGAGGGAATAGTAGGTAAATTTGGGGTGCCAGGGGTAAATGAAAATGGGGAGTTCTTAATTGAGCTATGTGTAGAAAGAGGTTTGGTAATAAGTAATACATATTTTATGAAAAAGAGGATAAATAAATATACGAGGTATGATGTAGCACGTAATGAAAGTTTGTTAGATTATATATTGGTGGATTAAAGGTTGATGGGTAGGCTTCAGGATGTACATGTTTTTAGAGGGGCAACTGATATATTGGATCATTATTTAGTTGTAGCTACAGTTAGAGTAAGAGGTAGATGGGACAAAAGGAAAATGGCAATGACAAGTAAGAGAGGTGAAAGTGTATAAACTAAGGGAGGAAGAAGTTAGGGTGAGATATAAGCAACTATTGGCAGAAAGGTGGGCTAGTGCAAGTATGAGTAGTGGGGAGGTTGAAGAGGGTTGGAATAGTTTTAAAAATGCAGTATTAGAATGTGAGGCAGAAGTTTGTGGCTATAGGAGGGTGGGTGCAGGAGGAAAGAGGAGTGAATGGTGGAATGATGAAGTAAAGGGTGTGATAAATGAGAAAAGGTAGCTTATGAGAGGTTTTTACAAAGCAAAGTGTTGTAAGAAGAACAGAGTATATGGAGAGTAAAAGAGAGGTGAAAAGAGTGGTGAGAGTGTAAAAGGAGAGCAGATGATAGAGTGGGAGAGGCACTGTCAGGAAATTTTGATGAAAATAAGAAAAAAATTTGGAGTGAGATGAAACAAAGTAAGAAAGCCTAGGGAATGAATGGATTTGTCAGTTAGCCCTTTCAGGGTCGACAGGCCCTCTCCCAGACTTGTTCTCAGGGTCAAAAAATTTTCAAAAAAAAAAAAAAGAAATAATTTTTTCTTATGAAAAGATAGTTTTTTTTTTTTAATCTTATAGGCTAAACACAAAATTTTTACCATCAATACTTACCGAGATATGGAGGTGTGAAGTTGACACGAAATGACTGGCATACGGCAACATCGCCGACTGCCGGTCACCCGGTTTTAGTTTATTTAGTTTTTTCGGTATTTTCTATTATTTTTTTTTATTTATTTTTCAAGTAACTTTTATGGCCTGTGAGACCAATATGAGCACTATTTCGTAAGTTTTTCTCTTTATTTACTACACAATAACTGCACAAACACTGTTGTCACTATATTGTTTATAAAAGTTGTTTACACACAAACGATATAAAATGTTGTTTATTACTATTTTTCTATATTTTATGTACACATATACAGTCACAGGGAATGTTTCTAGAAGTTCTGCAGCCTGTGGAAGTCTTTTGAAACATGGTGTCATGCACAGTGGTGTTTTACACTCCTCACACATAAAACAAGTGTCTCTGCATTGTTGTATGTGCACAGATGTAACACCTCTTCTGAGCCTTTTTCTTGAAAGCAGTAGCAGGCAGTTGTATTAGGAAGTGATCACCATGCTTCAGACGAGAAGGTAGTTGTTGATAATTTAGTGGGCTGTTTTCTATTGCAGGTGTTGCTCCTTGATACTTGAATACTATTTGTCTGATGACAGGCAAACAAAATTCGCCATATGGTGGTTTGTTTCTGGTCTCATCTTATACATATTACAGTGGAACCTCAAATATTGAACTTAATCCGTTCCAGGAGCTAGTTCTAAATTCGAAAAGGCTGAAAAGTGAAGCAATATTTCCCATAAGAAATAATGGAAATACAATTAATCCATTCCAGAAACCCAAAAATATTCACAAAAAAAAAAAAAACATTTTATAGAGATTAATTATAGTTTTACATACACACAACAAGTATAGTGTTCAATTATGTATTAATAAATTTAAATAAACATATAAAATAAAATTTTTACCTACCTTTGTTGAAGATTGGTGATGGCATCTGGAAGATAGGGAGGAGGAGGGAGGGAGTTGGGGTTAGTGTTTGGAAGTTGAATTCCCCTCCATGAGGACTTCAGGTATCATAGCCCTTTCTGGGGTTACTTCCCTTCTCTGTATTTTAATGCCACTAGGACCAGCTGAGAGTCACTGGACCCCTGTCTCACTAAATAACTGTCTACAGTCGTCTGTTTCTGTCTCACAAAATAACTGTCCACAGTCCTCTGTTTCTGTCTCACAAAATGACTGTCCACAGTTGTCTGTTTCTGTCTCACAAAATAACTGTCCACAGTCCTCTGTACATCCTGGCAAGCTCAACAAGTCTCACGCCACTCTCATACTTCTGTATTATTTCCTTCTTCACATCTATGGTGTTTTTCACTTTTTTGCCACGGGGTACCACTAGCAAGCTTATTTGGGCCCATGGTAGCTTATTTCACAGTCCCACAAGCACTAAACACAATGAAATAATCGTAAAATATTTGAATGAGAGCGCAGGTTAGTCTTCACTCAAGCATCAACAAAACCAGGCTGGCTCACAGCACCTGCACGGGGGCGCGGACAGAGTGGGCTGCCGGACAGGTCCAGTACTCCGGCGGTTCGAAAATAGGGACAAGTTCAATAATAGGGACAAAGTTGGTTCGAAAAAGCCATTTGATTTTCAAAAAGTTTGATAAGTGATACGTTTGAAATTTGAGGTTCCACTGTATAAGCATTGAGCATGGAAATGCCCAGAAGATGGAAAAAGAGTTTTATGTACCAGTTATAACTCTTGCGAACACAATCGGCAAACCCAATCTGCATGTCACATTTGTCCACTGAGCACATATTGAAGGTGTAATCAATCATAGCTGCAGGTTTTAGAATGGGTTCATTGCTCTCTCTATGCTGCCTGCCAGTGTTTGCCATTTCGTTAGGGTGAACTGACGACAACAGTGTGACATCTCGTTTGTCATGCCACCGAAATGCCATGATGTCATTGGCAGCAAACTCCTGCACCTCACCTCTACGAGTGCCAGCGTCAAACCTAGGCATATGTTTATGATTTGCACGCACTGTGCCACACACATCTGTCATGTTCACTTGCAAAAAGTCACTGAGTGAGGGGCTTGTGTACCAGTTATCAGCATATAATATATGCCCCTTACCAAGGTATGGTTCTATCATTGTTCTAACCACATCACCAGAGATGCCCAATAACTTCCTGGTATTTTGCAATGTATAACTTCCAGTGTTCACAATAATATCTAATACAAGACCACTGTAGCAATCACAAAGCACAAACAACTTTATACCAAAGTGTTTCCTCTTGCTTGGTATGTACATTGGACCCCCGCATAACTGATATTAATAAGTTCCTGAGAGCTCATTGTTATGCGAAATTATCATTATGCGAATGAATTTTCCCCATAAGAAATAATGGAAATCAAATTAATCCGTGCAAGACACCCCAAAGTATGAAAAAAAAAATTTTACCACATGAAATATTAATTTTAATACACACAAACTGAAAAAGACATGCACAGTTACATGCCACTTACCTTTATTGAAGATCTGGTGATGATTGATGGGATGGGAGAAGGAGAGAGTCTTAGTGTTTAGAAGGGGAATCCCCTTCCATTAAGACTTGAGGTGTCAAGTCCTTTTCCGGGGTTACTTCCCTTCTTCTTTTAATGCCACTAGGACCAGCTTCAGAGTCACTGGACTTCTGTCACACAACATATCTGTCCATAGAGGCCTGTACCTCCCGTTCCTTTATGACTTTCCTAAAGTGGTTCACAACATTGTCAGTGTAATAGTCACCAGCACGGCTTGCAATAGCTGTGTTAGGGTGATTGTCATCAAAAAAGGTTTGCACTTTAAGCCACATTCCACACATTTCCTTAATCTTTGAAGTAGGCAACTTCTTCTTCAATTTCTCTCTCCCCTCCTCCAAAGCAGTTTCCTCAGGTCTGGCCTCATGCTGATGAAGATGATCTAGCAGCTCATCAGTGGTTAGTTCTTCATTGTCCTCCTCCACCAACTCTTCCACATCATCCCCACTAACCTCCAACCCCAAGGACTTTCCCAATGCCACAATGGATTCCTCAACTGGCATAGGATTCCCAGGGTTAGCCTCAAACCCTTCAAAATCCCTTTGGTCTACACATTCTGGCCACAGTTTCTTCCAAGCAGAGTTCAAGGTCCTCTTAGTCACTCCCTCCCAAGCCTTGCCTATAAGGTTTACACAATTGAGGATATTAAAGTGCTCTCTCCAAAACTCTCTTAGAGTCAATTGAGTTTCTGAGGTCACTACAAAGCACCTTTCAAACAGAGCTTTTGTGTAGAGATTTTTGAAGTTTGCAATAACCTGCTGGTCCATGGGCTGCAGGAGAGGAGTGGTATTAGGAGGCAAAAACTTCACCTTAATGAAGCTCATGTCCCCATAAAGTCGCTCTGCCACGTCTGTAGGATGACCAGGGGCATTGTCTAACACCAGGAGGCACTTAAGGTCTAATTTCTTTTCAGTTAGGTAATTTTTCACATTGGGGGCAAATGCTTGGTGTAACCAGTCATAGAAAAAGTCCCTAGTGACCCATGCCTTACTGTTTGCCCTCCACAGCACACACAAATTAGCCTTGAGGATATTCTTTTGCCTGAATGCTCTGGGAGTTTCTGAGTGATACACTAATAAAGGCTTCACTTTGCAATCACCACTAGCATTGGAACACATCAACAGAGTAAGCCTGTCTTTCATAGGCTTATGTCCTGGGAGTGCCTTTTCCTCCTGAGTAATGTAGGTCCTGCTTGGCATTTTCTTCCAAAACAGGAGTGTTTCATCACAATTAAACACTTGTTCAGGTTTCAGTCCTTCACTGAATTCCTTGAATTCCTGCACATATTTTTCAGCTGCTTTGTGGTCCGAACTGGCAGCCTCACCATGCCTTATCACACTATGTATGCCACTATGCTTCTTAAATCTCTCAAACCAACCTTTGCTGGCCTTAAATTCACTCACATCATCACTAGTTGCAGGCATTTTTTTAATTAAATCCTCATGCAACTTCCTAGCCTTTTCACTTATGATCACTTGAGAGATGCTATCTCCTGCTATCTGTTTTTCATTTATCCACACCAATAAGAGTCTCTCAACATCTTACATCGCTTGCGATCTCTGTTTCGAAAACACAGTTGAACCTTTGGCAAGAACAGCTTCCTTGATTGCCGTTTTCTTGGACACAATAGTAGCGATGGTTGATTGGGGTTTACTATACAACCTGGCCAGCTCGTAGACACGCACTCCACTTTCATACTTAGCAATGATCTCTTTCTTCATCTCTATAGTAATTCTCACCCTTATTGCTGTAGGGTTGGCACTAGAAGCTTTCTTGGGGCCCATGGTCACTTATTTTGCAGATAAAATCACCAAAAACACTGTAATAATACTAAATGTTCCGATTGTATGCTTGGATGTTACCGCTGAGGCTGACTGGTAAACAATGCCACCGGTGGAACATGTGAGGCTGGCTCAGGCCGCACATTAGACGCGTCTCGGACGAATAGCGTTGAGCGGGTTTTTTAGCAGTATGTGAGGCAAAATCTTAGCGATAAAATGTATCGGTATGCGGATTTAACGTTATGTGATGCCAACGGTATGCGGGGGTCCACTGTACTGCTTGAATGAGAGTCTTCCTTTGAACAGAATCAAAGACTCATCAATAACAAGCTTCCTGAAGGGATAAAAATACATATTGAATTTCACTTTCAGATACACAAACACATTCCTAATCTTATATAACCTGTCGTTTCTGTCAGGCCTGGCTTTGTCTGAGAAGTGAAGCATACGTAATAGTAGCACAAATCGATTCACTCGCATTATATCACTGAAACCTGGGGTTGCAATCAGGCGGTCTGTTGACCAGTATGATTTCACAGTGTGCTTATACACATGTGGCATAAGCAGTATTGTGGCAAAGAAAAGATACATCTCAGCCACAGTTGTCTCCTTCCACTGGTGTAGACGTGATTTTGGTGAAAGTATTGTGTTTGCCATGGTGTAATCGAAGTATCTGTTGCTTTCCCTGACAATAATTTCCATCAGAATAACTCCATCAAAGAATGACTCGAAACATTCCAGTTCACTGGCATTTTTTCCAGGTGTACAAGATAGCTGTGTTCCACTTTGCCTTTCATCAAACTGATGGGGATTTGGAACAAAATTGGCAGCTTTCTGCCAATCCCAGGTGCAGTCTGCTGGTGGGTACTGGATATTGACAAGTGGTTGTGGAGTTTGTGGTTGTGGAGTTTGTGGTTGTGGAGGTTGTGGTTGTGGAGACTGGTGTGGTGGGTGGGTGGGTGGGGGATGGTGGCCTTTGTTGTAGATCAGCTGAGGCAGCGGCATGGGTGACAGCGTGGGTGGCAGCATGGCCCACTGCTGGTGCCTCACGGCCGGCACCACCACTACCACCATCATGCACATTTTCCATCCCAATTGCAACACTATTATCTTCATTTTCACTATCTGTTCCTGTTGTACAACCACGGGATGTACTCCGAGATGTACTCCTTCCCCTTGGAATGGCATATGGCACACTACCAGAGCGCATATAGCGTCGTATATACTGACGCTTCACTGGAGAATATTCCACTTCACTATTGCTACTGGAACTGTTTTCAAGAGCTTGGAGTTCATATTCCACTATTACTATCATCAACACTGCTGACATCTGAGTCCGGGATATGGGAAAATAGGAGTTTCCTCTTTGGTTCTGGTACAACTGAATGTGAACAAGACGGCCCAGCATCAGAGGTGGAAGGCTGAGGCTCATCTAGGTTTTCCTCAATATTACCAGTATTATGGTCATTAGTTTCGGTCACAACATCATCAAAACCTTGAAACTCATCTTCACTGGCACTTCCATCTGTATTAGAACTGTCACTGGGGAACAAGTGTGTCCCAGTTCGCTGAAGAGTGAGGAGCTTCTTACCGCGAGGCATGGTGAACAAGGTCTACTAAAATGGTGTTCCCACAATGCGCCACTGGGTCCCAGAATTTTTTCCTACCGTGCACACTCACCACGCAGACCCATTCTCTCACATCTAGGCCTACCACCTAATTCCCACTTGATTTGAAGGCGCTAGAATTTATGCATACTGGTACGTCAATAACTCTGGTGCGTAAGCGTACTAGTACGTCGGAAACCCTGAAAGGGTTAAGGATTAACAATACAGCCTTTTCTTACTTAACAACAGAGTTCTGTTTTCTAAGACCATCGTCGGTAAACAAATTTGTTGCTAAATGAGAAGCATACTATAATGATAGTGGAGTTTGTGTCAACCATCTTTGATATTGTTTTAATGTCACCTTTGCACCATTTACAACATCTCTAGTATATTTTTAAATGTTTATACAGTAGTGTACTGTATATTGTATTAAACAGAATAGAAAAAATCAGCTCTAATATACATTATTTAGGTATGCATACTGGTCAGAGAGCCTGCCTATAAGTCTGAGTAGTCAGTAAATGAACATGTGGCTAAGTGAGGAGAGGCTGTAGTTATATTCTTTTGTGAATTATTTACACTAGTTTTACAGTGTTTGTCTATAATTTTAGGCCATTTTTAAGGCATTACATCTGGTTTACGTCAAAAACTGGATTACGTCATGGCCCTTGGAACCAATTAATGACGTAGGGCGGGGTATAACTGTATTGCCTTTGTAAAGTACACTTTTCTTACATTTTAGAATGTCTGTTAAGTTTATTTTGACAATAATGAAATACATGGTAGCAGTAATAAAATTATTTTGCAGGGATACAAGCTGCACTATATCATCACACTTCACCTGTTATGTGTTTAGAGCAGCATCAGTGGACCAGGTAAGATGCACACAAGCATATCTCATGTATATTAGATTTTTACACATTAAATGCTTGTTACAAACAATATTGTAAAAGGAAAATTCTCTAGATATTTTTTTTTTTACAAATATTTAGTAGAATGTTAACAGTACGGATTGATTAAACTTACGATTCACCCACCCTGATCAACCTTGAAAATCTGAGCAGAAAATTAAGAGAAAAAATTAATGTGTAAATCAAATGAAAAGTGGAACTCGATAATGCCTATTTTCCCAGATTTCCTGTAAAGTGCCTGAGGAAGTGGGGTGCTTAATCTGTGCATCATGTTTAGTTGAACAGGTGGAGTGTGAGCTAGGTAGCACCAGTGAAGATTTTCAGGGGAAACCAGTTACTGAAACTGATTGATGAAGGTTGGAAGCAGTGTTGACACTTTGCAGGATGGGTGAGGATGTTGCAATTTGGAGGGTCATTTGGATTGTGATATCCATTGTGGTATATGCATTTCCTTCTATTGGTCACCCAACCTTTGTGGGAAATGTGCCATATGATAAAAAAAAATTACTTTATATGACTGTCTTGAACAATGAAAGATGCATTTCTGTGTCAGGGATTATGGTGGATTATTTGAAATTATAGTATATTATGCCTATTTCTATCTGATACTCACCTTTCTTAGCCCTAGTATGTTCTCATTGCTTGTCTTGCAACTTTCTGGGGGTACGTGAGTGAGGACTCATCCAGATGTCTAAGCTTTGTGGGCTTACACATTATTCAGATACGATCATTAAGTTTCTGTTGAAATCACCCTCTTCCTCCCATCTTCCTGGGTTCTTGTCACCAGGATATGCCCACCTTTATTTTGTGTTCTGTTATTAGCTACCTCCTTCTAGAACAGGGGCCTCCAGACTGCGGCCCACGGGCCACATGGAGCCCACCACAAGATTTTATGCAGCCCGCAGCAACTTGAAATATTTATAGATAGTAAAACTAATAAACCCTTATATTCAGTCACTTGAAGTCAAGGATTTTGTAACAGTTTACAGTCGACCCTCAACTAATGGCGGCATTAAGTAAAGGCAATTTTGTCTAACGGCGCTTTTTACTGTAAAAAATGCCTTAGCCAATGGTGAAAAACTCTACCAACGATGTCCGTCTGGAACATGTCCATGTGCCCGGAGCACGGCCTGAGGGGGCGGCCCAGCCACTCCACTACTCAGTGTGCCATTGTTTACAAGCTGTTGGGGTTGGTTTCCATGTGTTCCTCCCATATATTTTGGATTATTCCACTGTTTTTAGTGCCTTTAACTGCTAAATAAGCCACCATGGGCCCCAAGAAAGCTTCTAGTGCCAAGCCTGTGTTAAAAAGGATGAGAATTATGATGAAAATGAAGGAGGAGATCATTGAAAAATACGAGAGCGGAGTGCATATGGCTGAGTTGGAAAGGCAATACAACAAATCACATTCAACCATCAGTACTATCTTGGCAAACAGACAGGCTGATAATCAAGGAAGCTGTTGTTGCAAAAGGTTCAAGTATGTTTTCAAAACAGAGACCTCAAATAATTGAAGAGGTAGAGAGACTTTTATTGGTATGGATAAATGGAAAACAATTATCCGGTGATAGTGTTTCTCAGTCTATAATTTGTGAAGAGGCAAAGAAGTTGCATGATGATCTCATTAAGAAAATGCCTCAAAATAGTGCTGCTGCAGATGAATTTAAGGCCAGCAAAGACTGGTTTGAGAGATTTAAGATTCGTAGTGGCATACACAGTGTGGTAAGGCATGGTGAGGCTGCCAGTTCAGACAAAAATGCGCTGAAAAATGTGTGAAGGACTTTAAGGAATACATAGAGACTGAAAACTGTTTAATTGTGATGAAACAGACCTGTTTTGGAAGAAAACGCCAAACAGGACCTACATTACTCAGGAGGAAAAGGCACTCCCAGGACAAAAGCCTATGAAAGACAGGCTGACATTAATGTTGTGTAGTAATGCTAGTGGTGATTGCAATGTGAAGCCTTTATTGGTGTATCACTCTGATACTCCCAGAGTGTTCAAGAAAAACAATACCATCAAGGGTAATTTGTGTGTGCTGTTGAGATCAAACAGTAAGGCATGGGTCACCAGGGAATTTTTCTTGGGCTGGTTTTATGGTGTGTTTGGCCCCACTGTGACAAAATACTTCCAGGAAAAGAAATTGTCACTCAAGTGCCTCCTGGTAATGGGCAATGCTCCTGCTCATCCTCATGGCTTGCAAGAGGAAATTGCAGGGGAGTTTGGTTTTGTTAAAATTAAGTTTTTGCCTCCTAATACAACTCCTCTCCTCCAGCCCATGGACCAGCAGGCCATTTCAAACTTCAAAAAACTCTACACAAAAGCAGTGTTTCAAAAGTGCTTTGAAGTGACCTCAGACACTCAACTGACCCTAAGAGAGTTTTGGAAAGATCACTTCAACATCCTTAGTTGTGTTATCCTTATAGGTAAGGCTTGGGAAGGAGTGACTAAGAGGACCTTGAACTCTACTTGGAGGAAACTGTGGCCAGAATGTGTAGAACAGAGGGATTTTGAAGGGTTTGGGGCTAACCCTCAGGAGCCTATGCCAGTAGTGGAAGCTATTGTGTCATTGGGGAAATCCTTGGGGTTGGAGGTTTGTGATGAGGATGTGGAAGAGTTGGTGCAGAACAACGAGGAAGAACTAACCACTGCCAACCTGCAAGAGCTTCAGGTGCAACAGCAACAGATCACATCTCAGGAATGTTCTTCAGAGCAGGATGAAGAGAGATGGAGGAAGATGACTTTGTCAAGGATTAGGGAAATGTGTTCAATGTTTACAAAGGTGCAAGCATTTATGGATGAATTTTATCCTTTCACAGAAGTTGCATGCCACATTGACAACATATACAGTGACACTCTTGTGTCCCATTTTAGGGAAATCCTAAGGGCTCGTGAGAAATAGAGCTCTCTGGATAGTTATTTTGTGCGACAGGGGTCCAGTGACTCTCAAGCTGGTCCTAGTAACATAAAAAAACTAAGAAGGGAGGTAACTCCACCAAAGGACTTGGTACCTGAAGTCTTTATGGAAGGGAATTCTCCTTCCAAGCAATAGACAATCCTGAATCTCCCCTGCTGCTGGCACATCACTCATCAACAGCTCCACAATAAAGTTAAGTGGCATTTGGCATTTAATTGTTGTTTATTTTGCATGTCCCATCCATTTTGGTGTCAGGAAATTTATATTTCATGTAAAAAAAAAAAAAAAATTTTCGGACTTTGGGGTGTTGGGAACTGATTAATTCTATTTCCATTATTTCTTATGGAAAATTAATTCGACCAACGGCAATTTCGACTAACGGCAAGCTCTCTGGAATGGATTAATGCCATTGGTTGAGGGTCCACTGTATATTTTAAAATTTGTTCAAGTTTTAGTTCTAATCTTTTCATTTTTCAGATATACCCTTAAGTTATGGAAGGAAAAAGGAAAAGAACAGTGCAGAGTGAGTGCCGCCTGTTTAATGAAGAATGGGGCATAAAGAATTTCTTTGTACAAGCAGGTGATAAAGTCTTGTGTGTCGTATGCCATGAAACTGTTGTAGTTTTGAAGGAGTACAATGTACGTTGATACTGTGAGACCAAACATAAACCAGGTTATTCCCAATTCACAGGAAAACAGCATTTGGAAAAATTTGAATCAATGCAATGCAGGTTGCTTTCCCAGCAAGGTTTTTTTTATGCAGAAGAGAGCTGAAAATGAAAATTTAGTAGGGCCAGTTACAAAGCAGCTTATGTGTTAGCTAAAAGAGGAAAGCCATTCACCAATGCAGATCTGATCAAAGAGTGTATGATGGAAGCAGTGGAAGAGTTATGCCCAGAAAAAGCAAATCTGTTTGAAATCCTCAATCTTGCAACAGATACTGTTGCTCGTAGAATTGAGGATATAGGAAGCAATATATTTCATCAAATTTCAACAAAGCATAAAATTTTCAGTTTTATTCTCTTGATGAATCGAATTATGTGAGTGATACATTACAACTCCTATTATTCATCTGTGGCGTCAAAAGTAATTTAATGTCATATAAGAATTACATCAGTGCATAGCATGCACAGCACAAGAACCAGAAAAGACATCTTCAAAGAATTGCAAAACCTGTATTAGAATATAATCTGGAGTGTAATAAACTGCAGTGTATGATAAGTGATGGAGGAAAGAACATGTCTGGGGTGAAGAAAGGTTTGGTTGGACAAATCGCAAAAGCTTGTGAGGATGGTGGATTCTCAAAGTCCATGTTATTGCATTGTGTTATCCATCAGCAAGCATTGTGCAGAAAGTATGTGGATATGTCTTGTGTTTTGAAACCTGTTGTTCAGCAGTGAATTTTATTCGATCTCAGGGGCCTAATCATTGCCAGTTTCATGATTTTTCTGGAAGAAACTGATTCTGAGTTCGTTGACTTGCCTTATTATTCAGCAGTTCTGTGGCTTAGGTGTGGTAAGCTTCTAACATGGTTCTTTCAGCTCAGAAAGAAAAGTGATTGAAAACTGGCATTTTTTTTTTTTTTTTTTGCAGACATGAGAAGCCATATGAATCAATTGAATCTGAAGTTGCAAGGTGAAGCAAATTTGATTTGTGATGTATTCATGCATGTCAAAGCATTCAGGCAAAATTAATGCTGTTTGAAAGACAGGTGAAAGTTTCTGACTTGGTTCATTTCCCATGTTGTAAAAAAAAATGAAGTGAAGCAGAATTTTCTTCATTTGCAACAGAAATCATTAAACAATTTCAGAAACAATGGAAAAACAGATGAATAAAGCTGTTTCAAAATCCATTTGACTGCACTGTTGAAACACTCCCAAGTCAGTTTCAGATGGAAAATATTGATCTCCAATCAGATGACATGCTGAAAGAAAAGCATGAAGAAGGAAATTTGATTAAGCCTAAACATTTTCCAAATTTGAAGCAATTTGCTTCTGGACTCATATCAGTTTATGGTACAACGTACCTTTGTGAGCGATCATTTTAA